GTAAGAGATAAACTCATACATCTTCACTTCAAATCATAGCTCAACCAAAGCACATACTATCAAACATAATCATGCAATCTCGTACATGAATCAAACACTGCACATACCTCACGTAAATCAATACTTGAAAATACTCAAGACAAATATTTGAAAAACCGTAAGGCGTAGAATTTACCCCCTTTACACTCACCTTACTTCCGTCGGAACTGGCTCTGATTTTGCTCCAAAGTTTCCATACTCGCTTCCAAGATAATAGTACACTCCTACTTGCTTGAATAAAATGAAGCAACTTGCTTGGCAAATGGAATTAAATGGACCAGCTTGCCTTGGTCATTATTGGCATCAATGTCATGGCGGAGATGGCAATAACAGTAAGACGAGCTTGCTTAAGCAAGCCTGCCGTTGATGCTCCTCACTCAGTCATTCCTCCATCGTCGCCTCACGCCTACTTCCCCATAACCATGAGACGAGCTTGCTTAAGCAAGCAGCTCTCCTAGTAGCGGGAAATGATGGTGCTTTGCCTCCCCTCCCCTCCCCTCACCTCACTCAATCAGTCCTCCATCATTGCCTCACGCCTGGGGAATAACCATGAGTTTGAGCTTGCTGATCTCGTAGTAGCGGGAATGATGGTGCTTTGCCTCCCCTCTGCCTTCGTCTTCGTCCACAACGAAGATGGCAATAACCATGAGACGAGCTTGTTTGAGCACACAACTCTCGTAGTAGCGCGAATGATGTGCTTTTCCTCCCCTCTCCTTTTGCCCTGCCCACCCGGTAGCAAGTCCTCCACCGCCACCTCCTGCCTGCTTCACTCCATCGTCCAACGCTGGGCAGCGATAGCAATAACTCTGTGATTCCTGATGGCGATAGCAATAACACGGACACGAGCTTGCTTAACCAAGCAGCTCTCGTATTAGAGGGAGTAATATGCTCTGGCGTCGCTTTGCTTTGATTTCCCCCATCCGGAGAGCAAGTTGCTTTCGGTGGAGAAATAAAAGGCTGCGAGGGTTTTGCTATTGAGGGCGAGGGCGAGGCCGAGTGGGGTAGAGGATCTAGGGTTTAATTAGTTGGAGGATGTTTTGGGAATATCACAGCTGCATGTGAGTTTAATCCGAAACTCAATTAATGTCCGTAACTTCCTCAATGTATGTCCAAATTTGACGCCGCTTAAACCAACATTTAACATTTTTAGTCCTCATTGATATTACAGTGGTACTTGACCCAAGGGTATAATAGTCATTTTGATTTTTAGGAAGAGCGGGTTGTAACAAAACACATGTACATCCGAAAATTAAAAAGCCTTCTCCACAAAGGTTTTGACTTGGTCTTCCTTCCTTTTATGCTAAGGAAATGGTATTCCTTTTGGGCAGACACTTCAAAAGCCCATCCAATACGTCACCCTCTTCTCCATTCGATCTCCCTTCAACTTCATCTCCACTCAATCTCCCAAGCCCTTCTTCTCCCTTTGATATCCTTCCATGTATTGTAGCAACAGAATGGACCTCCCTTTAAGCTAGTCCACGTCCATGTTATCAAAATACCGATCCAAGTAATGTGCAAAATCCTCCCTTAACATCTTAGCTTTGAAACATGTAATTGGACCCTTTCCTGATGTTGTGGGCTTGGTTTTGATGACCTCATCAGTCCCTCCCTCTTGAAAAGGATTTGCCCTCAAATCCAAATTGCCATCCAAATAAGGTGCAAGATCATAAATTTTGAAGCTTGCACTTATCCCATACTCTCCTCGCGAGCCAATCTTGTAGGTGTTGCTTTCAACCTTCGAAATCGGTTGGAAGGGACCTGCACTTCTAGGTAGCATCTTGGATCTCCTTTGGTATGGAAATCTCTCATTTTTATCATGTGCACCTATACCCAATCTCCAGCTTCAAGTTGTTGCGGCTTTCTATTATTTTTTACGTGTTTCATAATCTGCTTCGTCCTTTTCTCAATGTTCAACATTTCCTTCTCATGGAGATTCTTCACAAATACGGCCTTCTTTTCTCCATCTATGTTAACTTTCTCCTTTAAGGTAAAGGTGTCGAATCCAATGGTGTAAGTGGTTTGAACCCATACATGAGCTCAAAAGGTGAGTACTTTGTGGGTGAATGCACAGCTCGATTATAAGCAAACTCCATGTGTGGTAGACTATCTTCTGAAACCTTAATGTTGCTCTTGATCATTGCTCAGAGCATTAGGTATAGTGTACGATTGACTACTTCACTTTGTTCATTTGTTTGAGGATGACAAGTCATCAAAGACAACAACTTCATCCCCAGTTTGCTCCATAACATCTTCAAGAAATAGCTCAGAAGTTTTGCATCTCGATCAGACACAATCATACATGGCATTCCATGTAATCTCATGATCTTCAATACGAACTTATGACCTTTGCGCGACAACTTGTACTTGTTGGTGATCCCATCATGTTGTGCACTTCGATCAAATTGTCATGGCCTTCCAAGTAGGATGTGGACGACTGCATTGGTACCACGTCATGTAGGACCTTGTTGAATTTCAGCAATGCTTGCCTCGAGACTTTGATTGAACCATCTTCATTGAGCCACTAAAGATTGTAGGACTATCCTTATATCTCCCAACTTTGCGTCTCTTACTTTCTTCCTCGATTCTTCGTCTTATCCTTTAACCATAAACTTAACGGTCATCTCCTCGTTACTTCTTGCTAAAAGTAGAAACCTCATACTGCTACTTTTATTGTCTGTATGCATTAAAGGTATCTTTTTCATCTTTCTCTCCTTTCAAGAATCATGACCTTCCATTTTGTATACTTGTTCACTCTCAGCACCAAACTTAGCACTTCCCTATCGACGCTTGAATTTGGAGTTCTCGTACTTTCTATTTTCCATTCTTAGACCTTAGATGAAATTCCTCGTACGATTTCCTTGTCCAAGAAATTTTCACCCGAGAGATTGCCACATTTAACCCTCATAGGCGATCCTGGTTTCCCTTTGGGGTATCTCAGCAGGTTCCCTAAATTCATATCCATCTTACTTCTTTACTCATGACTCTTCTTCTTAATGTTCCTTGCTAGTTCTAGATGTCCTTCGTCCTTGATGTAGTCATCTGGGTGCCCATATTCTCTTCTCACTTATGTACCTTGACCAATAAGATTCTTGCTTCGACTATTCATGACAACCATGATTCCATCTTAAAATTGATCAAAATTTCGCAATGGACTTCCAATTGTTATTCACTGGTAGTCAACCTAATGCTTCCTTGTTGTTGGTTGTATTCCTGCTTTGGCCTGTCCTAGCTATCTTCCTTGACGCATACATCGCCCGGACGACTTTTACTACCCTTCCTTGTTGCTTTGTACTATATTTGGTCACCAAAATTTGTTGAGTATCTTCTCGTTATTGTTTGGGTCAAAGCTTCCAATAGAGTATTTCCCTTAGTAGGCTTTAACATACCTTATTCACGTCATTTATCTCTATTGATGCTTGTATAGTGCCTTAATTCCTTAGTATGGGTTCTTAGTTGCTTAACTGAACGTGTCTTACTTATCCTTAACTAGACGCTTCCTCTGGATGACATCCTACTATGCCGCTCCCCTCGGAGTGGGGCACCTTGGATAAGGTAAATTAATGATTTTCTCCTTCTTGATAATGCTTTAGACTTTGGTGGCACTTCCCTCCATGTCTTGTCTAATGGTGGTCGTACTGAGACAATAACTTGTCCTCTGCATCATTTATCTCGTTGCTTTTATTGCTCCTTTTAAAGGCTTGTCATAGGCCTAACTCCCTACCCTCTTCTCTAGTGATGCAGTTTATGTATAAGGGTTTCTTTATCGTCATATGTAAATGACCATGCCTCCTCTCCGCCTTGATTTATTGACTTCTTGACGTCCTTTCATACTCCCTATAACCTACTTATTTCCTCCTTCGCTTCCTTTATACTACCTTAGCATTGCCTAAAGTCTAAACTTCCCACTGCTCCTTGTCATAGCGAGCGTTGCCCACCAAAACCAGTTGAGTGGCTCCCTATGGTATCTTCTCATTTATTGACTCGTTGCCTCCTTGCTACTACTTAGGGTCAAGGACCCTGAGATCCTTCCATTATCATACTACTAGCGTCTGGTGATTGTAGCTCTTTCTTCGGAGATTCATATTTCTCACATTGGTTTTTCTCAGCTTATTAGATTCACCACTTTTTTCGCAGTAGTAAAATCCTTGTACTCTTCCTTCAACTCCTTCCAAATCCTTGGGGTATTCTTTTACGATTGACACCTCTTCTATTTGAACTAAAGTTATTTACCTTAATATGATTAGAGTAGACTGGAGATTCTAGAAACTCTTAAAAAGGTTTATAATTAGCCATAATCAATAGGATGTGGACCTTCATGACTTTCAAGTCATGACAGAGACTTAGCGAGTCTGAGTCGTGACGGCGAGGATCCATTAATCATCAGTAAGACAGTGCTGCGCGGAATTGTTAGACGAGCTACAATAGTTGAAGAAAGTGATGAGGAGATGGAGGATGATGACACGTTAGATGACCGTGAGTTCAACACTAATGAAATAGAAAATCAAGAGGTCACTGATCCATCGTTCAGTGACGAGGAAGATGCCTAGCAGCACATTGTGGACATAAAATATTTGCTGCTTGTAGCTATTCATGACACTTTTTTATGCCTAGTTGTACATGTTTACAATGACAAATTTTATACTTTGTTATAGTCATGACACAAACACACTATAAATTATAAACGTTGACAATTTCAGTCTAACTTATATTCCATAAGTTCCAATGTTTCTTATAAAGGTTTGATAATGTCTCTCTTTTTCTTGGTTTTTTTGTATACGAACTGTATCATGTATGGCTCCCGCCAATAAAAGAGGGTTTCGATCAAGGAAGCGCCATTGGGGAGTTATTACCGGTCACAAGATAAAAAAGGTGCCCCATGAGCCTGCTAGGTCTACTGAATCTGTAAACGCAGATACTACGCACCAAAAGAAACCCGTGAGAACCTAGAATCTGAGCAGCCAATGGGAACAAATCGAACCTGGATTCTAAGGCAGAGGAATCTACGCACAGAGACTATGCATCCAATGGCAACCAATAAGAATCAGGATTCTAAGGCAGAAGAATCTAGTCAGGAGGGCATGGAAGGTGACCTTCCCACTAGCGTAGAAGGACCTAATACGACTAAAACGAAGGGACTATTTGAAGGGTATGAGATTATGAAAATAACCGGGACTGGAGCTAAGATGGATGGAATCTTCATTATGAATAATGGGAAGCCATTCGTAGGCCCAAATGAGAGCTTGATGAATAAAGGGTTAAGCGTCGTAACACGCCTGATGGACTCGATAAGAAAGTACTACTATTCAAAGCTAACTGCAGTAGACAAGCATCCTTTATTCAAGAAGCTAGAGGTATTGTATAGCAAATTTTAGATGGTTTGTCGCTTCTGTATGAATGAATCCATATGGGCAGTGACATTCTATGAGTTCTTTGTCATGTAGGACAAATTTGACACAGACAGAACAGGTCAAGACACAAGGACAATTATAGAGCAGAGAATGCACAAGCGGTTTATCGATTACAAGCATCAGATGCACACTCACTACCTGAAAGATCGTAAGACAGCTAGGACAAACCCTCATGTGGACATGAATATAGGACTGACATCTGCTGTGTGATCACTTTGAGATTGAAGGTTTTCGGATAAGAGAATATGAAAATTTGATCTTTAATGTCATGTGGATGCTTGCCTTGAAATCAATGGTTGCTAAAATATTATATTTGTCGTAGGCAGAAGCGAAGTGCACAAAATAAAGATAACAAGAGTAAGCAATCTTATGCACACACAGCTGGTGCTAAATCACTTGATCATAAAATATAAGCTCTCTAACTAGAAGTCGACATAACATTTATTTCTGCAAGTCAGAAACAAATTTTTTTATGACCAAGTTTTTAGTTGACACGAAATTTGCATTCTGACATTCAATAGGATAATAAGAAGAAGACAAAGCAGCAGCAACATGAGCAAACTGAATAGGATCAGCCAATTGACATGGAGGATGGTGAGCAGCAGGGTGATGCAGTAGAGGGTGAGCTAGTTGATTTGCTATTAAATGCAAAGAGGTATTAGAGGGCTGGTAGAAGTTGGCACTACGAGGAGCCTATGAAAAATTATGTGAGCTATTGTCATTCTCTTCATTGTTCGTTTATGATTAGTTCCTAGCAAACAATGTGAGCTATTTGGTTAAAATTGTATTTTTCAATGTTTATAGCTGGAGATGCAATGCATTCATGCACAAGCAAAGGCAGATGGGAAGCTTGTACCAGGCCATGATATTGTTGAGATGGTTCTGAAGAAAAGGTAAAGTATGGACCCAAGCAGAACCCAATATCCACTATGGAGCAGGAACTCCAAGCATAATTGGAGGCAAAAAGAGCTGAAATAGAGAGAAAAAGCAAAGAGTTTGAGGCACAGATACAAAGTCGGGAGGAGCAGCTGAAAAGCCAGGCTGAGAAGATACAACTTCGGGAAGAAAAGATTTAGAGGCAGGAGGAGAAGTTTGAGACCCAAATAGAGGAGATGCAGTAGCTAAAAGCCGCCAGGAAAAGCTACAGAGTCGGCTGTTGGTGATTGCTCGCCAAGTATCCCCCAAATGATTTGGCAAGTCTAAGGTAACTATCCTGCCTCAGTTTCAAGAGCCAGATGAAAATGGATGTTCTTGGTGTACTGGTATGTTATGTAGTGTTATGGTGAAGAAAGAAGAATGTTGGAACACCTCTAATATTTTGTGTGATGGTGAACAAGTTTGAATATTGGGGATAATTGTACTGGCCTTTTGTGTTATGGTGAACAAGGAGTTGTAATATTTTTTTATATTTGGTTAATTAGTACTCTGTTGGGATGCTTATTTATTAATGCAATGCAGGTTCATTTTGAATTATGCCACTCTTGTATCAATTCAGATGTAATGTCAAAGTCCATTGGTCACTTTATTGTAAATTTCTTAACAAATATTGCTCTTGTCATATTTGACAAGAGGCACATACAACACCTTCCACGACAAACTAAACTCGTCATAATATGAAGTAATGAAAAAATATATTCGTCGTATAATCGTGCAATATGAATAACAATTATGACAAAATCAGCAAATTATGACAAAATATTTCATCATAAAATATATGTTTGTCGCAATAGACTAACTAGAAAATGAGCTAAACTAACAAATCAATGTCCAAATGTGATAACCCAGACCCTTATTGTGACAAAAGTATTAGTCACTTTTGAACCATTTATATAACACAAGAATATGTCACAATATCAAACAGAAAATGTGATAACTGTATTTTAAAATTTTGTCACATTTGACCTATCATGACGGCGATTAAATGACAACATGTGGAGACAAATACTTTTGTCATAAGAAACCTAATATAACAAAACAAGGGTCTAATATGACAAAAACCTACTTTCACAAAAGGAAAATTTTGTTATAGTGATTGGCGCTTCACTATAGTCAGCCCTAGCTTCTTTACCGCATTTAAGCTCACATTGGTACAACTCCCACATCAATCACTATAGAGACAAACTTTCCATATACCAAACATCTTTTACAGAACAAAATCTCCCTTTGCTCGAGCTCTTCCTTGGGTTGCCTAGTTAGAATCCTCATAATAGTAAGTAGACTTCCCGGAGGAGCTTCCATCTCTATGGACTCATCAATTTCATAATCCAATGTCTCTTTTGCTATGTGTTCTTCTTCTTCAAATTTAGAAATGTACTCTCCATTGTCCAAGAGAATCAATGATCATCTATTTGGGAAGTGGCTTGCAATGTGCCATCTTCCATGACATATATAGCATTGAATGCCTCCACTTAAACTTGCTTGCCTCTCCTTAGGAGCTTCAACCTTGGCCTTAGGTTTGTTGCTTTTGGCTTCGTTAGAGATGGCCTAGGGTTTAAAATAGTAAGCACTCCTGGTCTTGGTGCACTAGAGGGAGGTATATATATCATCTACCAATGTTGCTTCTTTGTTGCCTTGCCACCTTGGCGGCCATGGACACTAAATCGTCCAGCTCCACAAAGGGTTTGATCTCCACCACATTTTTTATCTCTCAATTGAGACCCTGTAAAAATCAGGCTATGTTGGCTTCATGATCCTCTCTATATGTTCCCTGATCATTAGCATCTCCATTTCTTTGTACTAATCATTTACGCTTTTGGTACCTTGTCATAGAAGTTGTAGAGTTGGATGCATCTATCTTCGATGGGCACAAATATATCCCTCATGATGTCTTTAATATCCTCCCATGTCTCAATAGGGCACTGCCTATTTATCCTCCTTCTCATACAAAGTTGATCCCACCAAACCATAGCGTAATCTGAGAACTCTAGAGCAGGTAAGTTACCTCTATTTTCTCGGAGTAGTTTTTTTGGTAATGGTGACATCAATTTTATTAAGATAAAAGAAGGCAAAAAAGTTATAGAATGATTGAGAAGTTGGTGAGAAGAAAAGTGAAACAAAAACAAGTAGAGTGGGATCTAACCTCTCTCTACGAAGAGGGTTAGTTATTAGAGACAGATCAGATACTAAAAATTAACAAGGTCAAAAGACGGAGTAAAACAAGGAGCAGAACAGGGGTATTCATCTCCGGTTATGATCTGCTACTGATTTTTCTTGCCAATTTGCAACTACAGCGCCTGTCTCACTGTACAAGCTCTTAAAGCTTGCTGTAGAGCCTCCACAGGCCACAACCTTCTTCTAACTTCTCTTAACCAGTCTTCGGCCAGTCCATTCCCCACTAGATTTGCCGCCATCAACGAGCTCAAGATTAATAGCCCGATCTAATAGATCAAGACTCTAGCTACTGCACTCTTTTCTTTGATGATCCTCATGTTTCTTTCTCTCCAGATCGACCAGCAGAAGGCATGATAAAATGATTTAAAGCACAATCCCACTGGGCTGCTCGGCTTGTTCTTTGGACATCATTCCATTGCCACTGTGATGTCGTCGAGAAGGTTGATGGGTACCTGCACGAAATGTCGAATGATCCGCCAGACTTGCTTCGTTAAAGCACAATTGATGAAAATGTGGTTTGTTGTTTCTTCACTTGCCGAACAGAGCGTGCAGTGACTCGCCAAATTCCATCCATGCTTTTTAAGACATCATGCGTCTGAATCCTTTTATGGTGTAGAATCCACATAAATGTTCATAATTTTTATGGTATGTGGGGCTACCAGACTACTTGATGTGGGTAATCTTTTCAATTTTGCTGACTTCGGAAAGCTTGAAGGGGGGAGGCAGACCCGACGGCGACTCTAGGGAAATCATCAGCAATGGTAGCTCCCCTTTTAGTCCACACATCATCCCAAGGATACATATCTACCCCTCCAACCTTCTAACATTGTTTGCATTTTTGTAATCACTGGGTTCCATATTCCTGTCAATGTCGGAGGGGCGCCAAGGGGGAGCCTAAGGTAAGTAGAGGGAAAATGCTCCCAGTCACATCCAAATATCTCGACCAATATGCCCGGATCATCAACATCACCAACCAGGTACATCTTGCTCTTTATGAGGTTTACTTTCAGCCATGTTAACACGCTAAAACACAACACCAAACTGCGACCAAGTGTAATCGCAAAATGGAAATGCAGAATAGTGGCAAGTTCAATTTATCAACCCGGGGTCTAGATCTACTGCCTACTCCGTGACTACATGTTATCTAGTGGGACTATGTGTAGTGAGAGTGATTGCAAACAAAAGCAGTAAGAAAGCATGAAATGGTTCGAAGTTCTGAAGCAAGGGAAGAGTCACTGGGGAATGAGTCCCCCTAGCTCCTTAGTTAGGTCAAAGCTGTAATTTCCTTTGGTTGATTTACTGTTGATTAAACTGCAGAAGATCCAACAGTAGCTTGGAATCTCTTAAGCTGACCAAGCCCTCTCAGACAGACTACCCGACAGACGACTAGTCTTCACTGGGATAGAACGCTTAGGCAATTAACACATAACTCCACTACTGGAATTGGATTCCAGTACAAAGCAGTGAATTGACTAACTCCCGTATAATCGATTCACTACTACTGATTGAAGAAGCTCTAACAACCTAATCAGATCCTATATATCTCAAGTTGCAGAAGAAATCAAGAAAAGTTGATCAAGCTTCAATTGACTCAATGAATCATGCATCAATTGATTATAACCAAACAGTATATTAACCCAAAAGTCATTACAATCATTATCCCTAACACATGGAACTAGGGTTCTTCATACCCAAGTGAGAGAGAGAGAGAGAGAGAGAGAGAGAGAGAGGAAAACAGAGTACAAAGCAGTCATACTCATCATGATGGGAAGAGTAATCTTGATTGATGAAACCCAAGCTTGATTGATGCAAACCCAACTCCAAAATCACCTCTATGGTTTGTTCTTCGCACTTTCTCTCTCTAGGACTCTTTTTCTTTCTCTGAAAATCGTCTCCCTCTTTAAAAGACCCGAAATCGGGTTAAAACCTAGAATTCCACGACCACACGGCCAGGCCACACAGTCGTGTGGAATACCCAGCTGCCCGTGTGAAATCCCAAAACGCGGCGTTTCGATTAAGTGCCTCAATGCATGCTACACGGCCAAAACCGCACGGTCGTGTGGAATTATGGCCTGCCCGTGTAACCCTCTGGAAATACC